ATCCACTTTAATCCCAGATTTAAGAGCCAGGTATGATGAAATGGAAACAGAGGACCCATATCCTGAGGAAGGACGCTCTTTCCTAGGAAAAGCTCATGATGATTATCTGCCGTTAGTACGAATTTGGTTGAAAAATCCAAATGTTCGACCTGAAGACCTTACGGACAAACAGTATATTTCATTTACAAGATTTGCGAAAGGGTTCTTTATTGACAAAGAAGACAGATTATACAGAAGAAGCATAGATTCCAGACACAAACTGGTGGTAGACAAATCACATAGAATGTACATGATGCGTGCAGCTCATGATAGTCTTGGACATAGAGGTGCATATGCTACAAGAATGATGTTAGGAGAAAGATTCTGGTGGCCAGACATTGAACGCGATATTACATGGTATGTGAAAACATGCCATCGCTGCCAAGAAAGGTCCAAAAGAATTATAGAAATTCCTCCAACAGTTACTCATACACCCTCTATTTTTCAAGTCCTTCATGCTGATACTGTTCACATAACACCTGCATCTAATGGATGTAAATACATTGTACATGGAAGATGCGCTTTAGCCAGTTATATGGAAGGAAGACCTCTGAAGAAAGAAACAGCGCGGACTATAGCGCTCTGGCTATTTGAAGAAGTAATTTGCAGATGGGGCTGCCTATCCGAAATTATTACAGATAATGGTGCTGTATTTCTTGCAGCTGTAAGATGGCTTCAAGAAAAGTACGGAATAAAGGGAATACGAATTTCCGCGTACAATTCTAAGGCAAACGGAAGAATTGAGAGACCGCATTGGGATGTAGTACAAATGTTAGCCAAGTGCTGTGGACCACAGAACCTTGCTAAATGGTATTGGTTCTTTTGGCAGGTACTATGGGCAGATAGAATCACGGTTAGAAAGTGTTTTGGTTGCTCACCGTTTTTCATGGTTACTGGTGCGCATCCGTTGATACCACTTGACGTTCAAGAAGCTACATGGTTAGTTAAATTACCAGATCGTGTTTTAACTACAGAAGAGCTTATTGGCTATAGAGCAAGAGCTTTGGCCAAGCACAGGGTTCACGTTGCAGATATGCGAAGAAGAGTGACGATGGAGAAAATGAAAAGAGTAGCAAAGTACGAAATTGAACATAGGAATAAAATCGTTGGTAGAATCTACAAACCAGGAGACTTGGTTCTTGTCCGAAACACGAGCGTTGAGTCGTCTTTGAATAGAAAGATGAAAC